AGACAGTGATTATTTTTGTGAAAATTCAGCTTTATTTGGCATACAGGTAGCAAAATTAATAATCATAATGCTCTTGAAAATTATACATAAAAACTTTAATTTGTTTAAGTTGAATTTTATTCGAAGATGCTAAAAAGAAATGGAATAAATGCTCTACAGTTAAGCTAATATTCGAGGAAGAGGGAGAAAAAAAATTCTGCAGTAATTCAGCTCAACTTTCTCAATTCAGCTTTTTAATTTTTAATTGAAGAAAAAATTGAGATGTTTTAAAATGAGCAATTTTCCACCATCTGTTTGTTTGCTTCTTATAAATAAACTAATAACACAAATGAAAAAGTATCTGCCTGCTGCAGAGCCGGACCTTTCTGCTACTTAGGGTCATTGCGGAGGATAAAGACCCTCAATAATGACCCATTTAGAGTGATGTTATGTTTATGTCCACCTCTATCATTTTCTTTTGATGGAACAATGCTATTCTGATTATTATTTTTACGATGAGTTTCGATTCATTTATTTCATTTTTAGTTATAAGTCTTTTCCTTTTACATCGATTAACTTGGGTCCCCCGAAAGAAACGGTGCTTTACTGTATTGAAAAGGGGCCGGGATAGCCTGGTCGGCAGGGCGCTGGATTCACGCGTGTGAGAGCGGAAATCAGTCGGCCGTTTAAAAAGGTCTCGCAAATAAGTCCACTCAAAACGGTGGTTTACTGCAACTGAAATTAATAAAAAAAGAAATATTTTTCAGTAGTATTGACGGAAATAATGATTGCAATAGCACACGTGTCATATAAATTACTAACTCACTAAATATGTAGAATCAATATAGTTTTCTCATAGCGAAGGTTGATTAACGCTCAAAATAGTATTCTTCATCTAACGAAAAGGTTGCCTAGCTATATAGACATTTCTTTTTTTATTTTTATAGCCTTATATCTTTTTGATTTTCGACATTTTTAGAATTTTCGAGATGCATGTCCTTTTTATTTTCCATGATTTTGAAAGAGAGTTGCATTTAAAAAATTGAAAATAGGTTCACTATCCTCCTGGAACCACTCGCTTAATTCATTTCATGTGAAAAAACTCATTTTAAACAAAATTTTTTAATTAAAAGTCATCATTCCATATATTTTTGAAGTTATAGCATAGATAAAATTTTAACCTGTAAAAAAGAAATTTACTTCCAATATAAACGAACTATATTATTATTATTATTATTATTATTA